TCAGAAAAGTAAAATAATGAGTCAGGTATAGTGTCATACCCCAGCCCAGGCTCCATAGTGAGTTCCTGGCCAGCCTTAACTATAGAGTTCTTTAGCAAAACCCTGTCTCAGAAAAATCTAAAGGAAAAAAAAAAACAGTAAAAGAAAATAACAAAAGCAAACAACTATTTTCTTAGTTCCTTGCTTGGCTGCTATCAGTAGCAGGGGCATTGAATCTGGGGAAACAAACAAATAAAAATCAAACCAACCAGCCAAACAAACAAGAAGACTTCCAAGGATTTCTTAATACAACAACGGTTGTTTGTTTAAGCATCAGGCCTATCTGGTACAGTCTGTCTAATCTTTTCCTTCAGATTTCCTTGCATGCAACAAAAGCCCAGAGGGAGAAAAAAAGTTCCTTTGGCTCATCCCATAATTCCTACTTGACCCATATATTATGCTAGCTCAAGCAGAAGTCTGCTGAGAAGCTTATACAAACATTTGAAAGCTCTTTAGGGACAATTTTGTCACCCTGGATTGAAATACCTACACACACACACACACACACACACACACACACACACACACACACACAGAGCTTTCTCTAGACACCTGTCTCTTGCCTAATTGGCTTTGTGCAGTGGGAAGGTTTTCTTTCATTGAGGTTGAGCAGCTGGAATCACCAGTCCTTAGAAAGAAGGATAGTGCAGGTAGATAAAGTAAAATATACTCTGACACCATTTCTAGCTACTCCTAATAATTTGTAGGAATTTTAGTGATCAGCAAGTAAATGATTGTCAGCTGTTTTCACTGAATCAGGAGAGGTTGATTTCAAAGGAGCTAGTGTATTTAGGACACAAGGCTTCAGAGTCAGAAGAAAAGGGTTATAGAGTATGCTCCTATGTCAGCATCCCACCATCCTAACACTCTGATTATTCATCCACTAGACAGGGACAGAAGAGTTGAATGACTACCCAACCACTTTGTGTGATAAAATGAGAAACAGATGACAAATACTTTGTACAGTTTTAAGAACTATTAAATAGATTGCTATTTTCAGAATGTAAAAGAGATTATGTGAACCCTATTGTGATTTCTGAAATGACACTTTTATCCCACATTAAATTATTATTACTATTACTATTATTACTATTATTTCTGCAGGAAATGAATGAGAGAACAGAGACTTTCTAGCTCTTTGTATGTTCATATATATCTTTGGCCAGTTTTAGGTTCCAGACTTTAAATAAATTATTGTACTTTATATAACTTTATTCTATAGTATGTTTGTTGTCAAAGATTTGGCAGAATATGTGGTTCATTTACACTATTGGAACATTTATGGTAGCAAGGAAAGAATGCATTTATATCTTATAAACAGTGCATTTTATCTATAATTCATTAGGACAAAATAAACAAAACATATGTAGCCTACTTTCCTATTGACTGAACATCAATAAAGGGTGACTTCTAATTCAACTTTATAGCACCTTAAAGGTAAAGAATATCAATTTGAGCATTACCTAAAGAAAAACTTTTAAAAATGTTTTCATGCAGATTTTAAGAACTGTATCTATGATTAATATCTTACAAATTAGAATAATACCTAAATCACAATATTAAAAAATAAGCCCTGAAATAAGGGGGACGTATGATCGCTGTGACATTTAATTGTCAATACAGTATTTCAAGCAAGAAAATGAGCAACACGAAGAAATCAACTGAACTAATTTGATGGAAGAAAAGTTGAGAAGTAGAATTTTTTCGTGTTGAGACAGAGTCTCACTATGTAGCCCTGGCTGTCCTAGAACTTGCTATGTGGACAAGGCTGGCCTGGAATTTATAGAGATCTGCCTATTTTTACATCCTGAGTGCCGGGATTAAAGGGGTGTGACACCATCCCTGGTGAGAAGTAGATTTTAAGTATATTCAAAATATTATAGGAAGACAAGCAAGGAAAAGGAGATGGCCCTCTGTTGTCAGTCTTTAAAGTGATCCAGCAAGCACATATCAGTATTATTCCTATGTTTAAGCTAATTGCTTCCTTAGCAAACTGGAAAAGGAAAGAGACCTTCAGTGGTTCATTTCTGTATTGCCACGAGCATCTGCTGCCTTCACTTATCTGTTAAGTGGGAGAGGAGCACTTAAATGTTTGGAATTTTCTAAAAATAAAGAGAAATGCAACAAAAGAGTAAAAGATTGATTTTAATTTTGTGGCAATATAAAACCACAAAATTGACTATTTCAGGGTTGAAAGTTATTTAAAGAGCTAAAACAGCTGTTATTTATTTATTTTCATATGTATGTGTATGTGCCTGCATGAATTTTTATGTGTAGTATATAAATGCAAAAGCCCGTGGACACCAAAAAGGGGGGTTGGATTCCCTGGAGCTGGAGTCACGGGTGGTTGTGAGCCACCGTATGGGTCCTGGGAACTGAACCCAGGTCCTCTCAAGAAGAATATGCACTTGTAACTGATGAGCTATCTCTGCAACCCAGGTATGCTATTAAATTTTTTTTCAGATGTGCTCTTGAATTAAATTGGAAAATAATTTTAAAACCACATTAGTTTGATTCCTGTCATGAGCAGTGACTATCTTTCTTGTGTGAAAATTCCAGCTGTTGGGGTAGGATAAGGACAGATATAAACTTTTTTCCTTTCTTACCCTAGCTGTGGGATCAAATTTAGCTGCATGTCCAAAGCACGTGCTCATGGGATTTACCTTCCTCTATGTTGGGATTTCAGAAAATTGCCAGGTAGATCAGAAAAGGGAGAGTGTTTATAGGAATAGAGGAGGCAAGTATTACTTTGCCTACTAGCCCAATCCCATCATTCTTTTAATTTTATATAAACTCTGATGCTTTTATTGGCTAACAATGTTCCTTCTGCTTTAGAATATTTCTAATGTAGAACTTTGTTAGGTTCCCAAATGTTTCTATCACTGTAACTCTCACTAGCATGTAATAGTGACTACTGAAGATTTCTAATGAAGAATTAAATGAGAAAACAAAAATTGACACACTTATTTTATGCTGCATCATATAACAATGGCTCAGAACCGGTAGTTTATGAATGAAATAAAGATACTTTATTTATTACACAGGCACTTGGATATTCACATGCCCAACACATCTGTTGATACACTTAATAACTAAGGAAACACGAATGGAAAATGTCTGCTTGTAGGATCAGGAGAGAACTTGCACTGTGTCAGGGTGAATGAGTGCATTAACAATTTTTCCTTTACTTTCCTCTAAGAATTTCCAAAAGTTACACTTCAAATAATATGCAACAAAAACTGATCTACATTCCAACTGGTATGCTAACTTGAATTGTGAGCAATGTAAACTTTTATCACAATGCAACATATTTTATAGTCATGCTTGAACAGATTAGGTTAGTAGCATGCATTCCATTCTGCAATATGAATACTGTTAAACCATTTCCCAACAAAAGTCAAAAGATGCCCAATGCATAGAAAAATACAAATCACTGTAGTCAATATATTACGAGACTGATCTTGGGACTTACATGGTGATGATGAATTCCTAAAATGCCATGCCCACAAAAGCACATTAAAAAGGGGATAAACATATTTCATCAGACAATCTCTAAAAATTAAAGATGAGAGCTTTAAATTTGGGGGACGATCTTGCTGTGTGCTTTGAACGGGGCCTTTCTGCTCACCTCCTTCTGGCTTGACTGGTCCATCGGACATCACTTTCCTGAGGGCTAGCTGGCTTTGGTCTTGGTTGCCATTGGCTGGTGGAGGCAGATTATCAGACTGAGTTCTTTGAATGGGGAGGACGCCTGCTATGCTGTGTCTGTGCTGCTTCCTGGCATGATTACACTGACCGCTTTTATGTGCTGCTGTGGCAGTGTGGGTGAAATGGAAACCCAGAGTATGTATCCTCAGATGGAACCAGCTTAAATGTTATTCATGCAAACAAAAGTGTTCTTTTGCTCTATTTAAATTGTGTTTTCAAATGCCAAAATGACACCACATGCACAGCACTGAAGGGGATTAAAACTGGCTGTTTCCTTGGATATGATGACTAGAGAGATGAGGAAAACAACAAACTATCTCCATCATTCGGCTAATACTTCTTGGAAGAGACAGCGCACCTACAGCTGTGACATATGTGTACTTGGCATTTTATACAATTGTATCAGAAAATTTCACAAATGAACACCTGGCAATTAAGATGAGTGAACTGTTAGACTTTAACTGATTTACAACTACTAAACATACCACTCTGACTTTTAAAGTATTCTAATGGTGAGAAAAAAAATAACTCGTATATTTTCTGTTATCCTATAGAAAGTGTGATCCAACACAACGAACCCAATTGTGCTCCTTAATTAAGTTACAGTGCCTCATTATGCATATTTGAGTCATATGTAGTTTTGAGAACATGGATTTTTTCGTGCAACTTCAGGATTCTAGGAGGGTCTCATGTGGAAAGTTATCTTCCCCCATGCACAATGCTTTTAAGCATCAAATGGCTTTTACCCTGGGTTCTCAAAGTTTATTTACTGTTGGTTGCATTATGCACCTGCCTAAAATGTTGAGTGCTTTCAGGTGCAAGAAGCTCATGGCTAACCTGCTCTAAATACATGTGTGTGTGCTTTTTGGGGTGTAATACTGGAAAACCTGCAGTCCCTTGTGCTTATAGTTCCTGCATTCTAAAGGAGATTGAACTGCACACAAAAAGACACACAACACTGCTTTGCCTGCAAACATCATAGACACAGCTACAAAATACTATGAGCCAGGTTGGATGGATGGTAGAAACAAAGGAGAAACAGCCAGTTTTATTGCAGTCTAGTAAATTAAGAAAAAAAAAATAAGGAAGAGCATAATTATGTATTGATACTGTACTTACACAGACAAAAGGACAGAGAACAGAGTGAGCAGGGGATGCCAAAAACACAAAGCAAACAGGGAAGGACAGCAGGAGAGAAAGGCAACAGATGAACATTAAGCTGCCATGCTGAGGAATTTATTTGCGTCTTTTACTTGGTTGAATGCGGAGTTGTTGCACGGCAGCTTCGGCAGCGGCTATGGCTGCCCCTGCATCTTCCAAGTGGGTCTGAGTGACGCTGGTTTTGCTTTGACTGCGAGATGGTCCATGAGAGCGGAGATGACCTTCAGACGATGATTTTGAGCTACCGGGACTACTATGGGATTTCTCAATGGTAGGAACCTGCATGTCTGGTTCAAAACGGCAAAGAAAAGAATTAAGGTCGCTCCAGTCCTCCTGCTGTCAAAACTTGGTCTATATTTAATTTGAAACTGTCTAAGATTTATGTTAATGCTGTTTTTCATGGCTCATTTGAACAACTCCTAGCCATTCAACAATGTGCTTAAACAATTTGGGGGAAGGGAGGCAAAGGGAGCACAGTGGAGAAGAGACTATTCATGAAGGAAAACGAGTTCTAACCAGTAAAGAATGTATTAACTTCCAATTTTACCCAGTGATTCCTGTTCATTTTAGTAGAGGATGGCTAAAAGACAATAGGTTTACTCAGCTGCAGGACACTTTTAAGTAAAACCATAGCGAACATTTGGATGAGTAGCGAAGGTCACTAGAACATATTAAATATAGTGCCTATTAGAATCATTGTCTTAGGACATTTTGTGAATGTATAGATCATGCTTGGAGAAAGAGGGAGGGAGGGAAGAAGAGAAAGAGACAAAGAGAGAGAGAGAGATCTTTATACTACTCTAAAACCAATCTACAAAGTGTATTCATAAGTAATCTACAACACTCTGTAGGCAGTGGTTTTCTGTGGTTTACCATATCACCTCAGTGCCTATTAGCAATGATAGCAGTTTTGCATCTTCTAGTATACTTGCACTTATAATTCGTTCCCCTCTGATATACATAGAAGCAATTTTCAGTTTGATGCATTTATGAAAGGTACATGAAAGATCAAGAAGCAGTGCTCACTAACTGTCTTTAGTACTTATAAGTATTTCAGCACATCGAGTCATCACAAATTTATCCAGTATAGGAAGTTACTCAATTCATGATGAGAATTAGTGTTGTGTTGGTGAATAGTTGATAAAAGAAAATATAAAGGAAAAGCTCATTCCAATAATCAATGCTGGGTATGTCCCCAGACCCCATGTAAAGCACTATTATTAAAAATGTTAATAGTTGAAATTTAGTGGGAGTCCAACCCTTGGGAAAGACTCAATGAAATTTAAGTTGCCATTATTTTGATGACATGAGAAAAAATGTTCTTGATATGAAAAGTTAAAAAACACACCTGGATGCAAAATTATATTTACAGACTAAGACTACATTTATGAAAAATCAGAAAATTAAAAAATTAAAATGCATAGACTAGTGATAATGGTGGTCATGTTTAGTCAAAAAATTAGAATGATTTTTATATTTTATTTATGAAATATCTCAGTCTGTGCACCTCTGCCTAAGGTCCATTTCTGCCAATTCCATAGCACTTTTTAGTGATGCTATATTAATTCTTTTTAATGGGACAGAATTTTACAAAGTATATTAAATACAGAGGCACTCACATTCAAGAAGATACTGACTGAGCAGACAGACAAATAACTGTTTTCTACTTGAAATATCTCCTACCCTTGGATGGGTCAGGGAAGATACCATGGCTTCTGCTTTTGATGACGGATGGCTTTGGGGACTGCTGGCTGCTCTGACTGGAGTGAGACTTGCTATGGTCAATGCTCTCAGTCTGTTCTTTAAGTGGATACCACCGAGGAGTGTTATCCAAGTGAGACGTGCTAGATAAGTCAATCAATACCTGAAAAAATAATAAACAAAAAATGTTAGGACTGAACCAAAATTTGTTCATTACCTTTTTCTGTGCTCTAAAACTTACCCAAGGATATATGCAGAAGATTAAGTATAACTTTTCCTTACTTCTCTTTCTTCTTTTACTAACTTTTCTTCAGCCAAGGTATTGAGAATGATGTTTTGCACATATATAAGGCGCTTAATAAATGTATGATTAGCTTAACTATATAAAGTCTCATACTGTTCTCTAAATTACTTGGATATTATGAAATCATTCTTTTATGAAACAAAACTTTTTTGGTTGTTCTTGTTCTATGAACTAATTTCTAATCCTAAATTTGGCTAACAATTTTAAAAGAAATGTATGATTTAAATTATAAGAGGGACAAGTGAAAAGAATGAATAATTTACAATTACTAACTTACTCTATTTTAAGCCATACTTTAACATTTTAAATAGATATATGGCTATGAACTGATGATGAGAAAGCATAGTGTCATGGTTTAATTGACAATATTTTTACTTTCTTAATAATAAATAAA